ATAATCAAGTTTGAATTTTATTAAAGGAAAATTTTCACCTATTCCTGGGTTTTCCAGATAGATAGCAAAATAGTATTCTTCAAATTTTTCTTGTAATGTTTTTTGTATTTCAATAAGAATTGTATGATTGATTTGCAGAAATAATTCTTTTTTTAAGAATATAGCTGCTTTTTTAAATAGTAAAATTCTTTTTAATTTTACTATTTTTGAAGAATAAGTTTTTTGCTTAAAGTATTCACAGAGTTCGAGAAAATTGTTTATTTCCTCTATACTGTATTGGTTTTCTTCAAAAGCAAAGAAATTAATATCTTGTTGTTTTATCATATTTGATTCACAAAGATTTTTTAAAACCATTTCTTCCAAATGATTTTGGTTTTTGGTTTGGTTAACCAAAAATTCTGTTAATTTGGTAATCCCTTTTCGAAATTAAGATTTGTTTTCGATGAGATGGGATTTTCAAATATTATTAAGAAGATTGTAGGTCTTTGAATTAAGACTGGAGTTGTAGAAATCTTTTATTTCTGCACCAGACATTTTTGGTGGTTGCAATAGGTTTTCTATTTGTTTTCACAATTTGTGAATATGAAACAGGAGTCCATTGATTCGGATCCTGAGCAAACTAAGAAAAGTTTTGTTGCCGCATTATTGGTTGTATTGCAGGTTGAGGAATTTGAAAGTAAGGTCTTTGAGGAATATTTTGGATTAAATATCCTCTAGGAAGATAAACAAATGGTGTAAATCCTGGGTTAGGACTTTGAGAAGAGGATGAAAAAGATATAACCTTTTTGGTTTGCTTCTTTTGAATGGTTTGCCATTTTTTTTATGCTCAAGAGGTTTTTTGCCTCTATCCATTAGGTTTGCTCAATAATCTACAATGATATTTTTATCTCCATTAATAAACTCAATATTAAAACTATATTGACAAAGAAAATTATACCATCTAATCTTTCTTGAATTAGTGTCTATTTTCTTAGTTTTAAGAAAATCTCTTACAACCTGATTATTAGTTCTTATAGTAAAGTTTTCAGGTGCAAGATAAATATGAAAACAAGTTACTGCATTTTTTATAACAAGTAATTTTTTTTCAAAAATAATATAATTAATTAATTTTTTTAAAATTTTCTTGAGTTGTATCCACAAATAAGTTCATTATTTTGAATTTTAGCTTTTAAAACACATCCACAATGTTCATTTGAGGCATCTGTTTCTAAAATCAGTTGATCTCCTTGTTTAGGAAAATAGACTTTAAGAATATAAATAATATCTGACTTTATTTGTTTAATAGTATCAGTTTCTTATTTAGACCATGGAAAAGGAATATTATTTTTCAATTTTTTTTTGTAAAATTTTCTCTTTTTTAAAGAGGTTTTTAATAAACTGTCTTCCATAATTAAGAAGACTTAGGAATTGTTCAAATGGTTTTTGTTTTCCATTGTTTCTGGAAAAATCTTTGATTTTGGAAATTATATGATCTTGTAAAGTAAGACCATGAAAAGAAAGATTTAATCCTAAGAATTATATTTTAGTTTTTTCTAACTTAATCTTTTTTGGACTGAGTATAATTCCATGTTGGATGAATTCTTGTGAAATAAAATTTAGATGTTTTCTATGTAAGTCTAGTGTTTCTGAAAATACAAGAATATCATCAATATAGACACAATAATATTTTTTGTATTTTGTAAAAATTATGTCTATCTATCTTTGAAAATTTTGAGGTGCATTATAGAGAATAAATGGTATAACTGTCCATTGATATTGTGCCTGAAGAGCACTAAAAGCAGTAAGGGTTTTGACTCTTTTGAAAGCATGCTTTGCCAAAATCCTAATTTACAATCAAATTTACTAAAATATTTAGCATTTTTTGCTAAATTGATTAGAACATCTTTTCGTGGAATAAAATATCCATCAAAAATAAGATTTTGGTTAAGTCTTTTATAGTTGATTACCATTCTAGTTTTGCCACGTTTTTACTTAGCATGGTTTCTTACCATGAAGTAGGGCTAGAATGTGGACTGTTTGTTGGTTCAATTAACCTTTTTTGTAATAAATCTGAAATTTGAATTTCAAATTCATCTATATCCTATTTAGTATAGATAATAGGTTTAACTCTTATGATCTTGTTTGGATCTATAATTTGTAAGGTACAAAATCTAGGACATCTATACCATAATTTTAGTGGTTCTTCACTAAAATTTTTAGAAAGGATTTTAAATAACCAAATTTTTTTTGTTGATTGTTTTTATCTCAGCTTTGTTAGCTTTGGTTCAAAATCTTTATCGCAAATATGTTTATGATTTTTTATCAAAGGTATTTCTATAGATTGTTTATCTACAGTCATGGTGATCTTTTCTAAAGTTAAAATAATAAGAAAATAATTATAAAGAAAATTGTTTCCTAAAAGCATGTCTCCATGCATACGTGGAAAATATATAATTTTTGGTATAATAAATTTAATATTATTAAAATATACAAGAATATTTTTTGCTTTTAAAACCAATGATGGTTTTTTTACCATCAATTACTATTATGGCTATAAGATGTTTCATAGGTTCTCATTTGTTAAATGGAAGAGCATTGCTATGACAATTAGAGATTGTGGCTCCAATATCTAATAAAATATATAGAGAATAAAGTTTATATTTTTGAAAATGAAATTCTCCATTGACATAATTATAAAACCTTTTTGATTGTTTATTGGAAAAAATAATAATTTCATTTTCACGAAATCTATATTGTGAAATGATAGCAACACTTTTGCTTTATGCTCTTCTAGTGTTTTTAGAGGAGTTAATTAAATTTAATACAGAGTTTACTGTATTATAAACTGAAGATTGTGATTGATTATCACTTGAAAAAATGAGAATATTAGTACTATTTGTACTATTACTCCTTTGAAAACAAGAGAAAGAATGTTTATATGGAGTAGCAAAGGATTGATTACTAGATAGACTTTCAGTATCATCTTCTTGATTAGAAAATGAAAGTATTGTGAAGGTATTTGCTTACTAAATCTAGGTTAGATTTAAAGCTATTTGCTTTTGGATTTTTGAAATATAAATGATTTCCTTAAGCAAAATTTTAATTTCAGCAAATTTGGTCTAAAACAAAATGATCAAATTTTAATTCCAACACAATGGCCTAAACCTAAATGGTTCAAATAAAATTAAAATTAAAATTGGTCTCAATTTAATTTAATGTAGTCCAAAATCCAAAAAATCTATTTAACCCAATTAATTAACCAAATGCCCAAAATTAATTGTATTAATGGCCCCAAAATTTAATAATTAAATTTGGCCGAAACAAAATAGCCCAACAATAATAAAAACGCCATAATTTCCACCAAATAATCTAACCATTAATGGCCCAAAAGGAAATAGCTTGAAGTGGGAAAAATAATCTAACATGGAATGGAAAATCAAATTGGCCCAACAGTAATGAAAAACCTTTTAAATTTTGCCAAATGGCCTACTTTTGAATGGCTCAGAAGGAAATTATTCAAAAAGGGGAAAAATATAGCTTAATATGGAAAATTAAAAATTAGATTAGCCTAAATTGAAATGGCCTAAAAACAATAGAGGGCAAAATGCAATTTTCACCAAAATTTTCCTTTCTTATTTTTTTTTTTTTTTTTTGCATCAGGCACGTGTAACTCATGCGCTTGTCAAGGGGTGTCTAGCATGTGCATTGCATGCACTTGAAAGTCTACTTGTGGTGTGTGTAACACAGGCATTATGTGCTTATCAGATGAGTGGGCGTGTGTATTATACGAACCTGCAACAACAATATAGGCATGTGCACTACACGCTTGTTGCATGTGCTCAAAGCTCCTTCTTCACTAGTTTGCTCTGTTTCAGGTTTTCTAACCCAACCTAATTTGGTTTGTCCGAACCTCATCATTTTCATACAGTTTCGAACCTAAAAAAATTGAATTTCAAACCCCTTCAAGTTCTACAACAATAAAATGAAAATTTGGAGCCGAAAAGTGCAAAAGAAGGCATGGATATAAAAACCTAAAAAATCAAAAGCTTCATTTGAAGCTTTAATGTAGGTATCACATCAAACAAAAGTGGTTAGTGAGTTCCACATTAAGTACGACTTTAGTAACAACTATTGGTTTTAGTTTAGAAACTCACAAGGCTGCTAACACACTTTAACACACTTAGCAATAATCATATTACTATTTTGATATATTATAACATGATATTACAACAATTACTCATTAATTGATATTAATTGATATAATCCTATATAACAATGTTGTTAGTCCACTGATATGAGATAAATACAACATTAAACATATTGATTCAATTTAGATTAAGCTTTGAACATAATATTTTGTTTAGATTCAATCTAGATATTTATATTATAATAAATTAATTATTATTTTATTTAATTTTATATTTAAAATATATTTAAAAATAGTAATGTAAAATATATTTACATATTTAATAGCAAATATAATTATAAGCAAGACAAATCGAATCTATACTTAAATTTAAAAATGTCCATCCAATTCCCACTCTTGAATACTTTTAATAATTATATTCTATATTAAAAAATATATATGAAAGTATATTATAGAATTAAAAAAATTTAAAGAACTATCAACAAGTGATTGATTTAATCGGTTAAAGTCGTTCTCCTCGATAAAGAGATCTTAAGTTCGAGTCCTGTCAGTGATCATTTATTAGGTTCATCTCGAATTTATAACTTACAATCACTTATCTTAAACTATTAAATACGAAACATCTTATCTTAACCTGAAGAACTAAATAAATTATCTACCCCGAAATTTATCCTACATCTAAATGTTTAAAGAACCAAACATGATTATTCTTGGCTCTCTTTATTTCTTTCTTTCTCAAACAGTAGTATTTAACTTTATTCGGTAGCACGGGACAAGCATATTCTTGGTTTGAAGAAGCGAAAATGAGGTGCGCGCATTGCAGCGAGTGTTGTTTTATAGTTGATTCTTTTCGCCTCTCCTACGGCTGCTACAATAAATAGTGGTTTAAAAAAATGAAATCCAAAGATTAAATGAGATAAGCATCGATATATTCCTGTATCCTATAGCTTGACGAAACCTTCTCTTATAAACGCAACTTCTTCTTCTTTTCTGAATCGATATCGTTTAAACAACTTAAAAAAAAAAAAAAATGAGATGGGCAATTTTCTTTCTCAACAGAAGCGCAAGCAGCTGGTAGGTCGGAACCGATCATCAGGCAATTCGTCGAGAGGAAGATCAGTGAATCGCTCTTTTCCCCCTGCCATGTCCGAACCGCAAGCTTCTTCTTCAGAAGGGGGATCGAATGCGAGCACTGAACAAATTAGTAACAATAATAAGGTTTCCACCATCCAGAGAAAGCTTTCCGCAAAGCAGAAGTATGGATTCATTCGTGATAATTTCTCAACCCTTGATCAGGTTCTTTTCTTCCTTTTACTTTAAAAATATATTTTTTTTTCTTTTTGATAGTATTACATCTCTGTTCCATTTCTTTGTAGTTAAAAAAATTATTTTTTTACAAAAAAAATCAGATAAAGGATTTAAAATTTTAATATTAAATTTAAAAAATGATTATATCATATTAAAATTCGAATTCAAAATGTTTTGCTTATGGGCCGAAAAAAAACACTAAAATGACAGTAGTCAAGTATTTCTTTTTGTTAGGTATAGTTTGTTTTGTAAGTTTTAGATTAGGTGCAGCATTATTAGTCAACCATCTAGTCTTGGTCCCCAAAACATAGCTGTCACTGTCTTTTTCATTTTGTCATTATTGTCTCTCCCATTATTAAGGTAAAGTTTGGCATCTCTCTCTCTGAAACCAAAACAAGTTACAGACAAATAAAAAGAAAGGATGTGGTGGAGATTAAAATAAATAAACAAGTCAAGAGCAAATTATAATTCTTAACTATGTAATTTTTTTTATAGAATTAATAAATTACAAGTAAATATCACAATCAAAATCAAATAATTTTTAATATATATAAATAAATATTTTTAAAATTAACTTAGATATACATGATATAGTGATTAGTATTTGAAGATGAAAGAAACAATGATTGAGAGTGAGATTATAATGGAAAATGGGGACAACTGGACCCCTTAGAAATGAATTCGTAGAGTACATATCAAACTTTAGTAACTTTTAATCCATAGTTTTTTATACGGCAGCTGCATTAAAAAAATAACAGTGGTCCCTTGTCAGTTAAGGTTGCATTTGGATTCAAACTTATCTCCAATGGAGTTTTGTTTGTTTTGAAAATATGTACTTAACGCACCGAACATCCATTTGGATGTATAATCTGAGGTGTGAAAATGATTTTTTTTCACTGAAAGTTTTAGATCCAACGCACTATTGATTTTTTTTTTATATTCTTTTATCCTTTTAATTTGACTTATTTTCTTTTTTTATTTTAATTTTTAAAAAATTTATAAAATATCAAAAAAATATTTTTTAAAATTTTTTATTATTTATTAATTTTTATAAGTTAAAAAATTTAAATTTTTATTACATATAAATTTCAAATTAATATTTTTAGTGATTATTTTTTATCTTATTAAAATTTATTTCATCATTATTATATTTATATTTAAATATATATTTTTATTTTTATTTTTAATAATATTATTATAATAAATTAATTTTATTTTTATTAATTTTATTTTAAATTTCATTAAAATTAATTTCATCGTTCACGCGTTTTCTCGCTCACGACAACATGCTTTTTTGGCCTTTTTGACAAAGTGCTGCGTCAGAACCAATAAAGAAAAAACAAACAAAGTTACAGAACAGATGCGGATGCCTCTTAACAGAGATGGGCCTTAACTTACACGTGTTCATTTAAAATAAAATATGATCATATAATACAAAAATTATATATAAAAAATGAATATAACAAGATTAAAATTTTAATAAAAAATTATATATTTTTATGAAAATAAAATAGAAATTACATATTTTTATCAGTACAAATTATTTACATATAATATTCATATAAAATAAAATAAATATAAATAAAAAAAATTAAATCTAGCTTAATTTCTTCAGCTTTCCATGGTGGTCCAACTGCTTTCTATTTAGTGCTGTTCACCCGCCCATTAAAATCATTCACCACTTTCTGTTGTGAGTACACTAGGCAATTTTTAATTGTGACAATTGAGACTTTCATTGCTGTACCACACTACCCCGTCCTCGGTGAATGTGCAACAAGTAAATCAATTTTTAATTTTTACTAGAACATTAAAATCTTTAAAAAATTTTAATTTATTAATCACAATATTCATAATTCTTCACTTTTGGTAAGTAAAGATTTTCTATTAAAAATAATCTAATAAAAATGAAATGAGAATAAAAAATAATAAATTGAAAGCTCTTTCTACAAAAATGTTGTATACGACTTTTAAATAATTTGAATATGTTTTGATATGTAATTTAAATAAGCATTTTTATTCAAAAAAAAATAAACAAAATTTTAATAATTCAGTAAAAATTTACAAAAATTTTGTCTATTTATATGCTATTTTTAATTAACCTTTTATATATTATTATTTTTTATTAAATTTTATCAATCTATTAAAAAATATGGCAACGTTTTAGTTAAAAGCTGATATAATAATTTTAATTAGCTCCTTTCAGGTTTGATGTTGATATTTTTGAGTTTTGAAGAAGCTCCTTCTCTTTACAGGTTACAAAAGCTTTAAGAGATTCTGGTCTAGAATCATCTAATCTCATTGTTGGAATTGATTTCACGAAAAGCAATGAATGGGCAGGTATGCCATGTTCATATAAAACAGTCAATTTCCGTCTCTAATTCTGCCACAAAATTTCTCTGATAAATAGGCTTTTCCATCAATTTAATGAGCACCTCCAGCAATTCTGGTGTAGTGCAACAATTCAAAAGCCAATACTTGGTATTTGCATATATATATATATATTATTTTACATAAAATATATATATATATATATATTTTACATAGTATGTATGTTATAAGTATTGGATTTTGAATTTTAAATTTATTGAATATTATTTTTTAAAAATAATTATATTAACTAAGAAAAAAAGACATTTAATAGCAAATGATTTTTTTTCGCTTTTTTCGAATTGGTTAATTTCTGGTTGGTATCTTGGAAGCCAAATTGTCAATGTTTTATTGAAGGCAAAGTATCATTCGATAACCGGAGTCTACATGCAATTGGTGATAGACAAAACCCATACGAGAAAGCCATCTCGATAATCGGAAAGACTCTGGCTCCATTCGACGAAGACAACTTGATACCATGTTTTGGCTTTGGTGATGGTATGGTGTCTCTGCTCCAGAAGTTATCTTTTCCAATCTTTACCATTTTGTTTCTTAGTCTAATCAAGTTGTTGATTGCAATGTCATAGCCACCACACACGATACGGAAATTTTCAGCTTTCACAGTGATCATTCATCTTGCCATGGTTTTGAAGAAGTCTTAGCTTGTTACAGAAAGATAGTTCCAAACTTGAGACTAGCTGGTTTGCATCTATTTCCTGCTCTTGGCAATTTTAACTTGGCAATCTGTTTGTGACCAAGTAACAATACGTCATACTTCCTTATTGCAATAGTATGATAGGAAAATTTCGTTACAATAAATCTAATATATATTTGTGACAAAATTGTTCATGCTAAAAAAAAAAAAAAGTCACTAAAAGTCTTAACTGCTACCATGACAGCTTCTGCCAAAAGCTAATGCTTTGAGCATGTATGTTGTCCCATAGGACCAACTTCTTATGCACCGGTAATTGATACTGCGATTGACATTGTGGAAAACAGTGGTGGCCAATTTCATGTGTTACTTATTATTGCAGATGGCCAGGTCAAATCTCCTCCAATTCCTTTTTTTCTTTCTCTCTCGTATAATGTATCTCTAAATTTGATTTCTTTTTGTGTCAATTATGAAGGTCACACGAAGTGTTAATACAGGTGACATAGAACTGAGTCCACAAGAAGAGAAAACAATCAATTCAATTGTCACTGCAAGGTAAGACCTCATTGACGTATCTATTTACTATTATTGCTTTAGATTTCAGTTAGGAATTTATAATATATGCGGCAGTGTCATAAATGATTTAAACCATTAAAAGTCACATTCCTTTTCTGATGTTAGACCATGTAATTTGAGATGTAGTATACCAGAGCTATTCGACTCACATTTGTAGATTAATCTAGAAATTTAAAATACAATATGAAAATAATAAAAAAAATTCGAAAGTGAGATAATTTAAAATTTTAACAAAATATCATATATTATTTAATAAAAACAAAAAAATATGTTTTATATTTTTCATATCAACACAAATTATGACATAATTTTCATATAAAACACAATATAAATATACAAACTATCAGTATTTTATACAATATTAAAACATAAATTATCAGATCTAATTGTGGAGGAGTGGTGAGCATAGTTACGATAGTATTATCAATAAAATGCTTGTTGAAGAAGGTTTATATACAAGTCTATAGATTCAGTTGTATTAAAGCAGGGTGTTTTTTTTTTTCCCATTTCAAATTCCAGCTCACACCCACTGTCGATTGTTCTCGTTGGTGTTGGTGACGGACCTTGGGATGATATGAAGAAATTTGATGATAAGATTCCCACACGCGACTTTGACAACTTCCAGGTTTGGTGCTTGTAGCAGAAACTTAACGTACAATATATCAATTTTTTTTTTTTTTTTTTACAAAAGACGGTAATTTAAGAGAGAAAAAGGGATTGCCGATGATATGGTAAATATTTAAATCTCAAACTTATTAAATGTTACTTTTTAAAAATATTACATGAGCCAATTGAAATAAGTTAAAATACTATTTCTCTCTCGTCGATGCAGTTTGTTAACTTCACTGAGATTATGTCCAAAAATAAAACTCCAGAGGAGAAAGAAGCTCTTTTTGCTCTTGCTGCTCTCATGGAGATCCCTTTGCAGTACAAAGCAGTCATGGAACTTGGTCTTCTTGGGTGAGTTATGCCAAAATCTTTTGTATTCTTCTTCAATGTTAATCTGCAATAAACTTATAATTAATTACTCGTTATTCTATTAATTGCATTTAACAAAGACAACGAACTGGAAAAGCAAAGAAAGTTGTTCCACGTCCTCCTCCTGTTCCCTACAGTCGACCTGCTCAGCCAGAGCGTATACCAAGCAATGTCCCATCGTCACCTGCATTAGATGACCGGACCCAGGTATGACCAATGTTGGATATTTTTGCAAACATTCGTCTATGAATGCCTGATTGGTCTTTCTATACTATGCAATTGTTTTATTGATGGAGGAGTCGAATTTTAATTATTGGATTACTTGCATTTTTGTTAGTTGTTTTCCAAGTTCAATTAGTTGTTATGAAAACAAATAGTAAAAGAAAGAATTATAATTTATTAAAAATGAATAAATTACTAAAATACAAATAATTATTAATAGATATTATTAAAAATGAAATAACGAATTTTATTATTAAAAAATTATATATTTTTAATTTTTAACTTCTTAAAAAAAAATTCTAGTGTTCGTACTGTATCTAAATGCACCTTTGAATTTTTATTGTTTTGATAAAAAATGAAGAGGTAAAAATAACAATTAAATCATAGCAGGATGTAAATCTTTGTGGCTTTTATTAAAAAATGTATCCGTTATATAGTGTTATTGGATTTTTAAAAGTACACCAAGGAAATTAGAAGATTATTGCAAACTTTCATTAGATATATTTTTAAAAAATTACTAAGTTCTAATATTGCTAGCGATGTATAGAATATTAATTATTTTAATTAATATTTTCCTTTAACTTTAGCAATAATGTAAATGTAGGCATGCCCAATCTGCCTTACTAATGGAAAGGACTTGGCCTTCGGTTGTGGGCATATGGTGAGTTTTCCATTTTTAGTTCCTTTATTTCATAACATACATATATATATATATATATTTTTCATGGTTTAAAATAACAGTTATAATTATATGATTGCAGACTTGCAGGGAATGTGGGTCAAGAGTGTCCAATTGTCCAATATGCCGCCAAAGGATTACTAATCGTCTCAGGCTCTTTGCTTGATTTCCATATATTCAAGCTAGTAACCTATATTTTCTGTACAGGCTAGGGTTGATTTCCATATTCAAGTAACCTAATGTATTTATTGAGCTGGAAACTGAAATTTCCTTTGGTTTGAAGAGCCCCTCTGGTTTTCTCACCTGTATTTTATGTACTGGTTAGGGAATTGATACAAAATGTTAAAGCTTTGTTTGTAATTTCCAGAATTAATTAATAAATAGTATCCTGGAATGTTTGAAGAATCTATTTGGTTTTTTCACTTGATCTATTACTATTCCCTATGCTTTTGGATCATGCTTAACGACTATTAATCGAAATATGCTGTCATGTAATATAAGTACGTTTTTAAGCAAGAAACAATTCGATAAAATTTGATCTAATTAAGGAAATTAGCCACAAAGGTTCAAATTAAGATCCAAATAAAGAAATTTTGGTTTATTGATAATTCCCGCGACATATCTACTTTGGAATTGGTCTGAACCACCGAAAGAGTGCTTCATGTTTTCATGACTGGGTCTTGGAGTGTCTTTTTTCGCTGAATGGTACCAGGATGTAATTTTTGGAGTATTTGCATCAGACTGTGCGAAGGAAACTCAATTTCGATATAATAGAAGTGGCACAAACACGAAAAGAAACATAGAGTTTGTTTTAGGGATGTAATTAAAGCCCAAACCAAGAGAAGTTCAATGTATTTGGATTGCGTATTTAACTATGTTGGACTAGAGCCAAATTAAGGAAGCCAATAAGGTCCAATTGGAACTAGGCCTTACGGTAGTTAACCTTGTTAGAGACAATCTAGCTTGATGGCAGATTTGAACAGCCACCAACCGGTAGTTTTGTGCGGGTGGATATTCAGCACATAAAGGAGTCAAAGAGAGTTCAACCTGGTGGAACTCCCTACTCCTTGAGAAATACGGTCGGAGAAGATTAAACGTTAGTGGAGATATTGTAGCCTTCATCTATATCGTGTTAAGGTAGAGCGAGACTTGGTATAAAGGGAAAGAGTACAGCAACGATTCACATGAAAATTCAAGCAACTTTTATATAAAGTGTAAAGTGCATAACGTATATTTGTCATTAAATATAATATATGAAATCATTATAAATATTTTTTTTTGTTTAGATGCAATTTATCATTTAATTGAATTTGATTCATTTTTTTAAAAAAATCTCAAGCTTAGGCTTAAAATTTTTAAAAGGTAAATTTTAGTTTAAGAAATCAAAATTAGATCTAAAAGTTCGATTATGTATAAAAAAGACTAATATCTTTGCAATAACCATTGAAGAATGGTTCTAATTTAATTTTATGTTACCAAAATTTAAAACATGTTTGTATTTTTATTGAATAGTTTAATTGTTGAAAATTAATTTTAAAGTTATTCCAATGGTTTAGTGGTATAAAATAATTTCTTTTACCTCAAAAATATTTATGAAAATACGTGTTTCACTTTGAAAAAGCTCAGTTATCATATTCATTAACATTTTTTTCAAAAATTAATCATTAGAAAACAATAAATAAAATTCTCCAATCGTATAATATGATTTTATTTTGATGCATATCTCTCAATTGTTTGACAAAATTTTTATTTAAAAATTTTTTTAAGAAAATTTTAAAAAAGTCATTAAATCTTTCAATAATTTAGTAAAATTTAATTTGAAGTTTGAATTCTCTAATAATTTGATAGGATTAAAAAATTATTTTTTATAAAATTAATTATGAAATTCTTCAATAATTTGATAGAATTCATAATTCGATATTTAAATCTTCCAATAACTTAGTAGAGTTAAAAAATTTTAACAAAAAATATTTTACACTCATAAATTTTAGTTTTTATTTTATCAAACTAAATTATTATGAATTTAAATATGCATAAAGAAATTCAAATTAAACAAGCAATAAAATAAATACACAAACGAACTATAAAAATTACATAAATGATTGGGCTAAACCTGAGATGAAATCCAAAGCAATATTCGGACCAGACCCAAATTTAGGCCTAGTTATAAAAACTGGACCTAGTTAATTCAAATCTGGGTTCAGATTTAACATAAAGCTAGCCCACTTCAATAGCTAGATTTGGGCCTGAATTGGGTCAGATAAAAAATTGCTGCTCTGGGCTTCGGTTGTAAGGGCTGAATTGTGGCGTAAAATCCACAAGCCATTTGCATTTCATCTCAAAGTTCCTTTCCTTTTATTCTCTCCAACCCCTCTCTCTAAGAAAATGGTGAACATTCGACGGCAACTTTAAGTCACCCAGAAACCAATGTTTCCCATCGTTGGTGCCGTTTATCGGCCGTCCACTGGCGGCCGTAATCGCTCCAAAAATTCCCTATCGGCTTTTCTTGATCTCCCCTTTCACGTGACCGAATTGATTTCCTCAAAATGTTATGAAATTCGCGTAGATCTGGCTTTGAAGGCCGCGGACTCAACCTCAATAACTGCTTTCCTTACTGTGCCGGTCACCACCGCTCCGAGGCATGTTCCTCCCCTTTGCTGTTGGCTATCTTCTCAGCAAGTTTTGAGCCCCAAAATCCCTAGGAGAGGATTGAACCATTAAACTTTGCTTTCCTTTCTCTTTATTTTTGCCGTCTCTAGCCTTTTCTGGTTCCTGAATTTGCTTCCTTTTTTTATGACCTTTTGGCAATGGATGACTGTTTGGTGTTTTTGGCAAAGGTTTGGAGATGAAAATTTTAGGGTTTTGCTTTAGGTGGTTCGAGGATGCTCATTGTGACGATGGCGTGAAACTGCTCGGTCATGGTTGTTCCTCTGTGTATTAACCGTGTTTCATCTATTTGTTCATGTGATTTTTTGTTGAATTATGGCTGGTGATTACGTGTGTCTTAGTGACAGTGAGACTTAGGCTGGAGTCTGAAGAAGCAAAGGTTTGGTTGTTTTCTGTGTGTGGCTTAGGTTCATGTGATTAAAGGTTAGCTATTGTGGATGGCTTGCTGAAAATTTGCTACTAAAAATTGGGTGTCGTTCGATTGGCCTCTATTTGATGTTCTTGTCTCTGTCTTTAATTAGTGTTTAATTGCATGGGTATTTCTGGGTTTGTTCGGTTAAAATGGGGTTCGGTTGAGGATATGGTAATGCGATGGCGGTGTATCCACTATGCACTTGGCTCCTCTTAGACTTGCGGCTGGGAATTGCTGTATTGTCTTCTGGAATTGTTTGGTAGACAATGGTGATGGACAATGGTGGTCTCGGGTCTAAATGGAGTATGGTAGGTGCTTAGGCAGAGATGGCAGTGTAATATTGATGGTCTGGTGCAGATGGTGTTTGTGGTGGTGGAGGATATGCTCTCGGGACTCTCTATTGTAGGCTGCAATGGTGGTTGATGACAATGGTTGTGATTGAGCTACGGTGGAGTGACGATGGAGATTGAGAACTGAACTGTTGGCTTATTTATAAGGGAAAATCATCAGAATTTCAACTCAAATCAGGATATATATTTTTTTTAAGCTAAAGATTATCACCCATTCCTGAAATTATCAGAACCCTGGTCACAATTTTTTTCAATTTTTGGTTTTTTCCTTTTTATAAGATAAGCAATAATGATAAAATAAATAAGATAAAGTAACGATAAAGATAAAAATAAAACGTAAAAGTAAAATAAAGATAAATGAATAAAATAAATAAAATAAAAAATAAAAATGAACATAATTATAAAAATAAATATAAAATATAAAATAATAAATACACTCATAAGCATAAAGATAAAAGTGATAAAATGAGATAAAATATAAAATTGGGCATTTAGGTTTAAAGCTAAATCAAATCCAATTAACTTAGATTTAGGGCTAAATGGGGTGTTAATAGGTTTTTTTTTTTGTATATTTTTTATGTAATAGGAATTGTGTAAAAATGTATACATCCATTACATTTATGTTCAAAAATGAAAAAATTTTGAATCTAGTCAAAGGTCAGATGACGTCGTAAAATAAAATGATTTGGTTTTAGTTGAAAATGAAAAATAATATATATATATATATATATATATAAAATTTGGATTGAACCAAAAGTTGAATGATAAAGGTGATCAGATTGAGTGAAGATAAAAAATATAAAGGTGATTACATTGAACCAAAGTCAAAAATAAAAATGATCAGGTTGAACTAAGGTTGAAGAAATAAAGATGACTAGATTAAGCTAAGGTCTAAATGAAGGTCATTGGATTGAACCAAGTCGAAGATAAAAACGATTGGACTGAGCTAAAATCGAAAATAAAGATGATCGAGATTAAACTATAAGTCAGAAAATTAAATGATTTGGATTGAATCGAGGTTGAAAATAAAGGTGGGAGGTATTGAATTGCAAGTTAGAAAATTAAATGATTTAGATTGAACCGAAGTTGAAAATAAGTGATTGGGACTAAACCGTAATTCAAAAAATTAAATGATCTGAGTTGAACGAAGGTCAAAAATAAGTGACCAGAACTTAATTGTAAGTCAAAATATTAAATGATCTGGATTGAATAGAGATAAAAAAAATAAGTGATAAGGATTGAATCGTAAGTCAAAAAATTAAATGACCTAGATTGAATCGAGGTCGAAAATGACTAGGTTTCAGCCTCAGTCTAAATATAAAATCAAACGATATTGAAAATAATACCCATAGTTTTAAAGATTATGTTTGAAGGTCTTTGAGATTATGCTGAAACCTTTTACAAATCAAACTTTGAAAAAAACTCTTTTAAAACAGAGGCTTCACAACTTTAAAATTTGAAAAATATTTTCCTCATCCAAGGAATAAAAATATCATGTTTTCCTTATTCAATGATTCACAAGTTCAAAATTTCTTCCCCCCAAAGTTAGAATTTTGTATGTCATGATCATGATGCAAATGCCTTCTAAATGATGCAAATGCAATAATCTAAATGATAATTCATTTTCTTACTGAATGATGCAAATGCATGTCTTAAACAATATGCAAATGCTATACCATGATTCAAATATTCTCTACATGATACACATGCATGTCCTAATCAAGATGCAAATGCAATTATCAAAATAAAGAATTAAAGAATTTTCTTTGCCCTAAAAAAAAAATCACTCATCTTATTAGTCTTGCAATCATCTATATTTCATTCGTCATAATGCAACAATTCAAATTTAATTTTTTTCAAAACCTACAAAAGAATGCAACAATTGCTCTAAAAAGGTCATTAGAACTTTATCTTTACAAAATGTTCATATTCTCAACCTAGACTTTTGAATGACAACAGAAAATTGCCCTACATAACATATTTTCTATGATCAAAATA